CTGGAAAGGAATTATGGTATTGACAAGAAATATCAACTATGTTGTCAGAAGAACAAAGGAGCCTGGGTTACATGTTGGGTCAGCAATTCAAACCCACCAGCTGTTCTCTGGGAGAAATATAAGACTTTCTGCTTCTGTAAGATTACAGCCCTGAAAATCTAGGGAGCCCTTCTACTCTGCCCTGTACTATCACTATGAGTCCAAATGGGTTCCGTGGCAGTGGGTTGGGCTAGAAGAACGAACAAATCCATGCTGCAAGAAGCACAGCCAGAAAGCTCCTCGGGAGTGATGCTAGCAAGACTTTGTCTCATGTACCTTGGTTATGTCATTAGGAGGGACTAGTCCCTGGAGAGGGAGCCCTGGCACTGTAGTGGCTACCTGTTGGGCTTTGATCCTCCTGATCCATGAAACCACCAGCAAGCAGCTCCATGGGAGAAAGACTGGGCTTTCTACTCCCATCGACAGTCTCAGAAACCCACAGGGTGTCACTATGAGTCAGCACTGACTCGAGGGCAGTGAGCTTCATTTTTGGAGTCCCTAGAGAAGGACGTGGTGCTTGATGAAGTGGAGAGTCCGGAAAAGAGGAAGGCCTTCAATGAGATGGGCTGCCACAGTGGCTGAAGTAATGGGCTCAGGCTTAGCAGAGATTGAGAAGATGGCACAGGTCTGGCAGTGTCCCATTCTGTCATACATAGGGTCCCTATGATTCGGAACAAACACAAAAGCACCTGAAAACTGAAACAACTTTGTCTCCCTAGCTAGTTAGGGCCATGGCAGTCCAGGAACGGCATATATCAGTTTACAATCCAGGGTCTCTGTTGGGAGCAGATTAAGCTGCCAAACTGTTAGTCTTTCTTCCCAATGGATAGTCAATTGCTATCTTAAGTACAAGTGTCTTAAGATGTTTTACATAACTATCGCCGATGGACGTCATGAATCTCAACAGACCCATAGCAATAGAAGAAATAGACAAGGTCATCAAGGGATTACCAACAAAACAATCCCCTGGGCCAGATGCATTCACAGGAGAATTGTACCAAGCATTCAGGGAAGAACTGACACCAATCCTAGACAAACTCTTCCGGAACATAGAAAAAGACGGCAAACTCCCAAACTCTTTCTATGAAGCTAGTATAATTCTGATACCTAAAACGGGCAAGGATCCGACAAGAATCGAGAACTACAGACCAATATCCCTAGTGAACATTGAGGCAAAAATCCTTAACAAAATACTGGCCAGTAGAATACAAAAGCATATAAAACAAATAATTCACCATGACCAAGTGGGATTCATACCATGGATGCAGGGATGGTCCAACATATGAAAGATGACTAGTCTCATTTGCCATATTGATGTGAAAAACTATAAAACCACATGATAATATTGATAGATGATGCGGAAAAAGCATTCGACAACATCCAACACCAATTCCTGTTTAAGACACTCAAGAAAATAAGAATGGAAGGGAAATTCCTCGATATAAGCTTTATGTGAAAAACCAACAGCCAACATGGTAGTCAATGGAGAAAAGACACACAATCCCACTGAAAAAGGGGACAAGGATGCCCCTTGTCCCCACTCTTACTTAACATCATATTGGAGGTCTTAGCTAACAGCATAAGGCAAAGAAAAGAAATCAAAGGTATTCGCTTGGGGAAGGAAGAGGTGAAACTATCACTATAAGCAGATAATATGATTTTACATATGGAAAATCCCCAAAGCTCCACAAAGTTAGTACTGGAAGCAATAGAGGAATACGGCAGAGTGGCAGGATACAAGATCAACAAACAAGTCCATCAGACTGCTGTACACATTGGACAAGACCACAGAAGGGGATCAAAAGGGTAGTACCCTTCACAATAGCCAAGTACAAATTGAAATATCTAGGGAGATACCTGACTAAAAGAACAAACGATCTATATGAGGAAAACTACAGAACACTACAAGAAACCAAGAGTGACCTCAACAAATGGAAGGATATCCCATGCTTGTGGATTGAAAGACTCAATATAGTAAAGATGTCAGTTTTCCCCAAGGCACTATATAAGTTTAATGCAGGGGTATCAAACTCAATTAAAACGCGGGCCATTTATCTAGCTCAGAAGCAACAAAGCCCACATGGAAGAAGCACACCAGCCTGTGCGATCTCTTCTTTCTTTCCTGTCTTCTGAAAGACCGTTTGCTTTCTTTGCGTGTGATGTTCTTCATGCCATCCCACAGCTCACTGGGTCTTCTTAGTGTTTAATGCAGCAAATCTGTTCTTGAAATGTTCTCGGAATTGGGGTGGGGGTTGTATTTTGGCTCTCGTTCATTTTCTTTAACTTCAACCTGAACTTATGAGCAATTGGTGGTCTGTTCCACAGTTGGCCTCTGGCCTGGTTTGAGCTGATATTGAGCTACTCCATCTTCTCTTCCCACAGATGTAGTCCATTTGATTTTTGTGTATTCCACCTGGAAGAGTCCACATGTATAGTCAGTCACCTGTCATGATGTTGAAAAATATTTGCTATGAAGAAGTCATTGGTCTTGTAAAATTCTGTATGCGATCTTCAGCTTCATTTCTATCAACCTGAGATGGGTGTTTAATTATGGTGGCAGGAAAATTGGCAATGATTATGGGTAGTGGCAGCACGATGAATGTAAATGATACCACTAATTTGTACAACAAATTCATGTGTTCAAATTATGGGCCCAGCAAAGAAGACTTAAAGTACCAAGGGCTGCCAAGAACAAATCTGCCTTGGAAGAAGTACTGCCAAAATGCTCCTTAGAAGCAAGGGTGGCAGGACTTCACCCCTCATGTACTTTGAACATGTTATCCGAAGAGATCAGTCCCTAGGAAAAAACACCATGCTTTGGAGAGTAAGCAAAAGGATGCCCCTCAGTAAGGACCACCGTCGTGGCTGCAACAATGAGCTCAGGTTTAACAATTATAAGGACAGCACAGGGCTGGGCAGGGCAGTCTGCTGAGTTGGCACAGACTCGTGGCACCTAACAACATGCCCAATGGTACACCTGAAAAAGGCTGAGCTGGCACTCGTTGCTTTCTAACATAAATGCCTCTAAAATAAACATCAAGGGGCTTCAAAAAGGTTGTGGGAAAAAGGAGTGAAAAGGTAATGGAACTTTTCGAAACCGTCATCGTGCTTAGCTCTTGGGTGAGCTAAGAGTGACTCTGTGCTTAGAAGTCCTACCTTCCACACAAGACATCTGGGTGAGCATCCATCAAGGCACCTATGCACAGCCACGACCCCTTCACCAGTGGAGGCTATGTGCTAAACAGGTGTCAAAAGAGATTCCAGACTAAGGCTAGGAAGAAAGGCCTGGCAGTGTACTTCTGGGGGCGGGGGAAGTCCGTAGTACTCACGGGATCACAATGGACTGATCTGCAAGCAGTCCTGGCAATGGCCTGGGGAGCATGCTGTTCAGTTGTACAAGGGGGGCCCACAGCTCTTCAGTGGGATGGCTTCAGCGAATAGGATGTAAAGAGATAATGTACTTGCCAAGCAAGTGCTCATTATGATTATGACGATCATGCAGGCCAGACACCATGCCAGATGTCCTGCATTGTCGGTTCAGCGTAACCACAGCCTGGCCAGCCAGGGAGGGGCGTCAGCTCCTCGGGTAGCACTGATATTCAGAGGGGCACAGAGCCATCACTTCCCCATGGCAACCGCCACTCTACCTTCTTCCTCCCCTGGGAGCAGCTGCATGGGAAGTGGGGGCACTATAGAGTTGGGCTGCATCAGGGCTGGCCAAGGACACAGAGAGGGTGGATGCTCATGGGGGCATGAGGCAGGCCACAGGGGCTGTACACAAAGGGGAGTTCACGTTCTCTGCAGGCTTGGCCACGGCTCTGTCCTGCTCTTGGTGGAAAGAACGTGGGTTTCAATGTCTTCGCATGTTCCAGGTGATTACAGAGCTGGGGGCCTTGAGATCACACCCATTTCTCCCCACTCGAAGGGGCTGTCCTACCGTCCTCATCCTGCGTCAGGTGGCACAGCCAGGACTAGCCGGAGACTGGTACACAGAGAGCACTCTACTCTCCTTTGCCGCGCCTGGAGCGGGGGCAGAGAAAGGCCATCCCTCATCTGGCGCTGGGGGCCCTGCATGATTATGTGAGACCAATTTAGAATCACCACCTCAGCTATACATCTGACGGGCTACACGGCGCCTCCACTTAAATCTCTGTTTATGCACAAACGGTGTAGCGCACAGTCCACACAACTGCACAATGCAGCTTCAAGAGTACCCTCAGTGGAGTCCTGGGATGTGCTGTTGACTCCTCTCTTGAACTCTGGGCTGCAATCCCCCCTTCTCCAGCTCTTGAGGTGTCCCAACAGGAGAGAACCCAACCCTAACTGGTCTTAAGTCTCTTCTGACTTCTGCCCTAACCCTTCGCAGGTAAATGCCTGAGACCTTGCAGGGCCCTTAACCTCCCCTTCTCTCCATGGCCCAGGCCTCCCTCAGTGTCCCCAAGGCCACTCCCTAATCCACAGCCTTCCAGGGCTCCCCCAGATCCCTCCTTGGCATCTGATCACTGCTGAGCTTCACTGTGCTTTGGGAACACTCGAGATTCCACTTGCCCATCCTCATCATCAGGAATGCGGCCCTCCCTCCCTGAAGCCCTCAGTACCCTGTTGCCTCCTCCTTCCTCATCTTCACCCTGTGAGGCAGGGTGAAGCAGCTCTCTGAATGGGCTCAGAGCCCGACAACAGGGCCTGCACACAGCCAGGCTGCCCAGGTGGGTGTGAGTGGATGGGTGTGTGTGTGTGTGTGTAAGGGAGCACACAGAAACCCGTGCTTTGTGCTTCTCTTTCCACCTGCAGCCTCCGCTGCCCTGCACTGACTCCTTGCCAGCTTAGAACTCAGGGAAGTGTCACTTCCCCCCAGCCCTGCCCTTCAGCCAACAGACACACTGGTGGCTCACAGCACACTGTTTGCCTGGCCCTCCTTTGTGAACATTTCCCTTAGCTGCTATTGCATTAAATCAGACAACTTCACTGGAAAGGCCAGAGTTCTGGTTTCTTTCGGAAAATCCCGGAGATCCAGCAACATGAAGTCCACAGTTGGGCCTGGTGACAGCCAGCTGGAGTCCTGTCTCACTGTCCCTTTTGTGGGGCCCGCCTTGGTCCTGGCCCACTGACATCAGTGCCTGGCTTCCAGGTGGGGTCCGTGCCCAAGGTGTAGAAGATCCAAGAGGGTCCTGACCAGGCTTGCTGCCCACAGCCCTGCCCCCACACTCGCTATCAGCACACAAAGAAGGGTCCGAAGGCAGGAGGGCAAACGCTAGGGCCTCACTCCAGCCTCTCCCGCCACCGCTGTCCACAGGCCCCTCTGTGTCCTGGCCCGGCTCGGCTCTGCCTGCGCCAGGGCTGGCTGTCGGTGGGCCCAGGCTGCTGGCACGCCTGGGAGATGGCCCGGCCTGAGGCCTTGTGCTGGGTGGCGGCGGTGGGGCCTGCAGGTGCAGGCTGTGTCCTGTCCACCACTCAGCCCAATGTGCACCAGGGGGTAGCGGCCTGATCGCACTCCAGCAGGATGTTGATGACCGTGCAGGGAGCCCCGCCCACGGCCAGGGCTGTCCGGGAGCTCACACGGTACCGCACGGTGCTCAGGCCTCCCTCCCGGTCCACCTTGAATTGCTCCTGGGGAGGAACAGAAGAGAGAACATTTACGTAGGGCTTGGGGAGCAGCTGGGTCCCCATAGGTCCCACGAGTGGAGGCCCTGCCCCAGCTGCAGCCCACCAGGAAGTGAGTTGCTATTGCGGTGACATGCCTCCTGGAGAAGAAGCTGTTTCAGAGATGAGGCCTCTGGGATTCTAGCAACTTCAGCTGAGCTGACCCCCACCCCAGCCTGGACCCCCACAGCCCAGGATGTCCCTATCGGCCACCAGAGCAGCACACAGTGTCCAAGCTGAATGCCCCTCAACTGACCTGAGGGGAGTGGGAGGGCAGGCTACAAGGGCCCAAGGAGTGCTTAGTGACTTGCTCCGGCCCTGTGGTCCCCACACCACCACCTCCCTGTCCCCAGCGAGAGCTGCCAGCACCTGTTTCTGAGCTGCGATGCGCTTCTGGTCCCTCTTCCGCCAGGCTGGGTCGTGCACATGGTGAAAGGTCTTATACCCCGTTGTGATTCCGGAAGGGCGGAACAGCTAGGGCCAAGCAAAGTCAGCGTCAGGCAGCTCCTCCCGAAGCCCTGGCCTCCGCCCCAGCACCCTGGAGTCCCTGCCTGCAGCGGCGCAGGACCCACTTTACAGAAGGGGAGGCAGAGGGCAAGGCACTGGTTGGGTGACCCAGACTCAGGGCCAGGCTGGGACAGCCCCTTGAGAAGGGACCCTCTGGGGGCCGCCACTGCTCTGGTGCCCAGGGAGGGCCTATGTTACCTGGAGACCAGCTCCTTTGATGCGGCGGTAGAACTCGTCGTCCTCGCGGCCCCAGCCCCAGAAGCGGTTGGACATGCCGTTGCACTGCAGAGATAGGCGATGTCACTTGCAGCACGGTCTGCTGTCATTCGGGTGCACCCGCTGTACCACTGGCTGGGCCAGGGCTCCCCCTCTGCCAGGCCCTGCTGTGCTCAGTGAGTAGCCAGGGACCGGGGAGGGGCCAGCATGCCGCAATCCCTTTCTCCTGGGGCTGTAGACTCAAGTATAATGACCAGCTTCTCCAAAGCTGCTGGCTGGCCCAAGGGGCTCTGGGACAGGGGTGAGAGGTCAAGCGGGCTTTGCAGGCCATGAATCTGTCACCTGGCTCTGGAAGCCAGTTCTAGTCATCGCTTGAAGAGGGCTCCTGGTTCCAAGCCCCTCTGTGCCCCCCACCTCCCCACCCGATATACACACCCTGTGACTGATGCAGGCTGGGCGAGCTGCACTCAGGCCGGCCCCCACCACCCGGGAAGCTGCTCTTCTGCGCAGCAGAGCCCACCTGCGCAAAGCTCTACTCCTTTACAGTTGGAGCTAACTCCTCAGCGAGCAGGGTGGGGGTGGGGTGTCTCACCAGCTGGTAGTGCTGCTTAGAGAGCAGCAGGATGCCACCCACATAGGTCTTGTAGTGGTAGAGCGGGTGGAGCTCCGGGGAGGCCACATGGAAGGGCCCGGCTGCGGGGAAGCCATAGTCCAGCTCCTCATTAAGGGGCAGCAGGTCCACGTCATGCATGGCGATGTAGTCCGTGGTGTTGCTGCTCTCCAGGAAGCCCACGTTGATGAGTGCTGCCCGATTGAACCTGCGGGCACAGTCGAGGCCGGCACACTGTGCAGACATCACCGCCCGACCTCAGGGAACCCTTTTCTCCCACCGGCCGCCGCGCCCCTGCCGCCTTCCCAGAGGGAGCGTCTGACAGGAACCAGCAAGCGAGCATGCAGTCAGCCTGCTGTTATGGGCAGGGGCGCAGGGCTGGCACTGCTCAGAAGCCTCGGGACTATGTGTGCGGAATGAGCCATAGGGAATCCAGGATGGTGCCCCATGCAGGGGAATGCCAACTGCCAAGGCCACAGACAAGAGCAGCCCAGGAGGGGAATGCGGGGAACTAGGCAGGGGGTGGGCCACTGGGGACTCTGGCTTTAGAAGTCCCACAGAGCGGGGAACCACAGAGGTCCTGAGCCAGGCGTGCTGCCCTGTGACATCCATTTCCCCGAGCTTGCTGTGGCTGGAGTGTAGGGGCGAGGGGGGAACAGGGAGACAGATGGAGGCTGTTACAGCCATTGAGGCAAGCCTGCCATGGCCACTCGTAGGTAGAACTTGTGAAAGTTCTCTTCCAGTTGCATCTATGAAGGGGCTTCCAGATAAAGCATGTGGGAAAGTGGAAAGAAGAGAGAGCGGAATTTCCCGACATGTGTCAAGTCCCCAGGGCTTTCCCCATGAAACCGGAAGCAAAGGAAAGGCGCCAGTGGAGAAGGAGGGAGGGGAGCAAAGGCCGAAGGGGAGTGGAGGGTGGGAATGGGGGGTTGGGAAGGGGGCAATGCGTGGTCAGAGGAAGGTGAGGTCTTCAGATAGCACGGTGGGGAAGGGCGGGCAGTCAGGCTGGCGTTGGCTGGCAGCTGGTGTGCGTGCCCCGCCGTAGCGGGAGCGAGATTGTCAAGCTGGCCCTCTGGGCAGGAAGGGACAAGGGCGCCGAGTGTTTGCTGGGCGTGATTTAATGTGTGTGCACCCATCACCCTGGAATTCACATGGAGTTGGGGGGCAAGGGGCGGAATCAGGGGCCCAGGAGGGAGGAGGCTGCAGAGTGCAGTCAGCGCTGGAGCTGTGGCGGTGGAGGCGCCGTGTCTGGTGATGGTGAGCACTTTCGCACGATGAGTCTCCCGGTCATCCCCCTTCAACAGACCCTGCCTGCACCCCCCAACTCCGCTCCTCCTGCCTGCCCTTCAACCGTTCTGGCCCTGCCTTGTCATCCTGGACAACACGCCAAATGACCTCCCGGCCGGCCCTCTGTCCGGGTACCATCACTACAGAGGGAGCAGTCACTGTGTGCCGATGGGAATCAGTTCAGGGCCTCTCTAAGATTTCTGTCACTGCCCTAGGAAAGCTTCCCTGCTGCCGGGAAGGGGACAGCAGGCCAAAAGAGGCCAGCTGAGCACCTGGAGAGGCGGTGCTGGGCCAGAGGAGGTCTGGCCGTGGGCCTACCTGAAATGGTCCACCTGGTTGAGCACATAGATGTGGTGCTGGATCTTCTTCCTGCTCAGGAAGCGGTGCATGTGAGGCACAAAGACCAGGAGCTCCTCAAAGCGCTCGCGGAAGGGCACCAGCACTGCCAGGCGGTGGGGCCCCCAAGACGGGTCTTCTTCCCAGTGCTCAGGAGGAGGCTCTGGGGGACAGGCCCGCGATGGGCCAGGGGTCTCCTGCCCTTGTCCTCTGGCCCCCCGGGCCATGTCTCCTGAGCAGCTGAGCTGCAGCCAGAGCAGGGAGAGGAAGCCCAGTAAGAGACAGGCAACGAAGAGGTGGAAGACGGAGCACTTCCGGGACAAGCCAGCAGGGAGCAACCTGGACCTGGGACAAGAACAGGAGTCAGAGGGAAGGGCTGGGCCCCTTCCTGGCCTCCTGGTGAATCAGCACACGTGGCGGGGCCCACGCCCTGGGAGTTAGTGCAAAAGCAACTTAGTGTTTTGGCTCGGCCGCTCTCCATGCAGCAGAATCCTGTCTAGCATTCTAGCCTGGCCTGCACCACCACCACCACCACCCCTAACCCCCGGGAACGCCTGGCGGAACAGTCCCAGCTCCTTGCCACCTGCCGCTTTTTTCTTCTGAGTCATGATCAGACTGCCGGATAGCTCCTTGTGAACAGAAGCAAGGGTCTCCTGCCACTGTACCTGCCGCTTCCCAGGACAGCAGTGTCTCCGTGTCCTGAGCTCATAGCAAGAGCCCTGTCTCAGAGCCATCCGAGGCAGGCCCTCTCATAGCTGCCCTGCAGATCCATCACCCACAGAAACCTCAGCGTCATCCTGCTGCGCAGGCTTAGCTGCAAGCCCCCGAGACACCTGTGTGGGTGATGGCATCCATCCCAAGTGAAGTGGCCCATGTTTACCCTGGAAGGCTCACCTCTGCCCCCAGATTAGTGCCAGGCCTCTGCTGACCGTGCTAGTTCACTGCACAAGTTTTAAAGCAGCCATGTGGCAAGAGATGAAAGGCAGGTGAGGGGAAGTGGGACAGGGGCTGGAGAGACAGTTAGCTGGCTCTCTTGGCCCCTGGGTGGTGCTGGGAAGAGACTGCCTCTGAGGTGAGAAAGCACACAGGACCAGAGGCTTCCTGTGCTCCCTTTGCCCTTCTCCCTGGGGGCTCCTGAACCGAGGACACACCCGCCACGCTTCCCAGGAAATAACCTGCAGAGGGGTGTTCCCTCCACTCTGAACAGCAACAGTTAGCTCCCAGGGCGTGGGGAGTCTGTCTCCTAAGCCATGACTAGGGGTCCCCAGTTTACAAAGGGGAGTGTCTGAGTGGCACAGGTGGGTAGGAGCTCGGCTGCTACCTGAAAGGTTGGAGGGTAGAGTCTACCCTGAGATGTTGTGGACGAAAGGCCAGGCGGGCTACATCTGAAAAACCAGCCAATGAAAGGCAAGCGATCTGGTTTGTTTATAAGCTAAAGGCCAGACTCTTTGGCTTGATAATGAAAGCCCTCTGTGGCCCCGCCCCTCTAGACTATCACACCATGTAACACCTGTCGTGGTCATTCCTGCTCCAACCCTCATGCAGGCTATTCCGACTGCCTGAAATGTCCTTCTTGATCATAGCTGCCTGGAAACGACCCCCTAGCCCTCAGGACCAAACCCTAGGTTATATACTGTTCCCCCTAAACATGTCTCTGGGCTTCCTCCTTCCTCCTCCCCAACTCTCAGTCACCAAGGGTTTCCAGGGGCTCAGACACACTGCCCGAGGCTTCTGAGGCCCCAGGCCACATCACACATGGGGGGCACGCTCCCTTGCTCAGTGAGTTAGAAAGTTTGAACAGACAGGGCATGCTTTAGGTCACACACAAGAGCCAGGCCAACTCTCATTTGTGTCTGAAGCAACTGCCTACCTGGAAGCCAGCAGCCCTGGAGCCAGGCCCAGGTCCCCCCACAGGCCTTCTAACTTACCCCCCATTGTCCTGTAGAGGTGCTTTCCTCTGAGGAGGGGCGGGGACCAGTCCTGTGAGCGGCCTGGGAAGGCTGGAACCTCTACCGAGTCTCCCTCTCCCTCTCCCTGCGGGCTCCTTGGGAGGGCGGGGCAGAGAGCTGGGAGAGGGACATGGGGTCATGGTCCCCCTTTGGGTGAAGAAGCAGTGACCATTATTCAGGAAGGGCATGTTTGACGGGGCATTACTTGTACTTGCGGATCCCTTGGTTCAGCTTCCCTGCCTTTTAGGATCGCATCCCAGTCACTCTCCTCCTATGCCCCAACGGCCCAAATGACTGAGCAACTGCCAGACTGCCAACTCCCAGGGCAGTGGGCACTGAGAACAGCTGCTCCTAGTACCACCTGGTGGCAAACTACAGATCTGCAGTGCCAGCAGCCCCTCTCCATGCCCTATGCTAGCAAAAGCTGCATTCAAACCCAGCCAGGCTGGCTCTGGGGCCAGCGCTCTTAATTGCTACACTGGCCAGCATCTGTTGAATGCATCTTTGTATCCCTGCGTGAAAAGTGCTGCGTTGACGTCAATAAGGTTTTCTGGCTGTGATGTTCCAAATGTGTATGGAAGGGATCAGAAATGAAAATGTTCCTCCTTTACTTTACTTTCTTCCTCTCGAAAAACCCTGGCAGCCCACAGTGTGAATACTCAGTGTTCCAGTTACACTGCTGTGAGGGGCCACTGAGCTTGTTCTCACTCAAAGGACCCTATGTTTAACAATGAAGCAAGCGATGCCTGCTCAGAATTGTCGTGATGCTGTCATGGTCGCACTGCCATCAAGCCAGTGCCCACTGGAGACCCCACAGGGCAGGGAGAACTGCCCCTGTGGGTTTCCATGGCTACACATTTATGGGAGCAGAAAGCCTCATCTTTCTCCACTGGAGAAAGTGGCTGGTGTGTTTGAGCTGCTGACCCCGTGGTTATCGCCCACTGTACCACCAGAGTTTCCTATGGCACCAGGAACCTGCATGGGGACTGGGAGACAAGTGGCACCTCCTCTGTGCCACATACAGTGCCAAAGACTGGACAAAGTGGCATGTGACTGATCGCCTTGAATCCCCAAACAGCCCCGCAGGACAGATTTTGCCATGCCCAGTTCAGACATGGAAAAGCTGAGGTCAGAAAAATGAGCCATCCGTTTCTGCTCCCATGACTATTACAGAAGGCCTGACACCGCAGTCCACGTTTTCTACCACTCCTGGTTTATCTCAACACAAAGGCTGCAACAATCCCCAAAGATAAACAGTTGTGCCCCCACTTTCCAGTTTGAAGCCCCTGGCAAACTTAGAAGACATAAATGGAATGGGGTGTCATTTGCTGGGTGGGGACCCACTCACTGGCAGCTATTCTGTGTGAGAAGTCTTCTGGGCACATGTGGAGACTCAAATCTAGGCAGCCAGTTAATTACTTTCCGCCCCGTCGTGCTTTGTGGGAAGTATCTTTACCTGTGGTGTGGGCCAAGCTCACACCTAACACACGGAGCAAGCCCCCAATCAGGGACCGCTGCCCTGAAAATGGCTCTAAGTATGTGCATAAGTGCCCAGAGCCAGCCACGAAGTGACCCGCCGGGCTGAACTACAAAGCTGTGATCTGGTATGTTCTGGGTGGTGATCCCAACGGGGTAGATGGGGGGAATCTGAGGTCAAATGGCTGTGATGAGAGACAGAGACCAGGGAAACCGGGTGAAGACACTCAGAGAGGCCAACAGAGTCAGAGACCCACACAGAGAGAGACAAGGAGCGGCCAATGGAGAAAACACAGACATGAGCGAACGCGGCTCGCAGCGACGGAAACTCACACGAAGAGGAACACGGAGCTACACAGGGGGCCGGAAACTCACGAGAGGACACCGGGACCCGCGGGGTCAGAGGCCGCGGAGTGGCGGCCACGGGAGAAGACGCGGCCCCCCGCCGCGCGAGCCCGTGACCCACAGGAAGCACGGAGCAGAGCCGCGGAGAGCCGGAGCCGCGGCGGCCTCGGGCGCGGAGCCGCCGCGGGGCGGCCGAGGAAGGAGCCCCCGGCGGGAC